CTTGTGAGTAGAACCTAGAACATAGAACATTACAGCGCAGTACAGGCCCTTCGGCCCCCGATGTTTTGCCGACCTGTGAAACCAATCTGAAGCCCATCTAACCTACACTATTCCATTATCATCCATATGTTTATCCAATGACCATTTAAATGCCCTTAAAGTTGACGAGTCTACTACTTTTGCAGGCAGGGCATTCTACGCCCTTACTACTCTCTGAGTAAAGAACCTAGCTCTGACATCTGTCCTATATCTATCAGCCCTCAATTTAAAGCTATTTCCCCTCATGCTAGCCATCACCATCTGAGGAAAAAGGCTCCCACTGTCCACCCTATCTAATCCTCTGATCATCTTGTATGTCTCTATTAAGTCACCTCTTAACCTTCTTCTCTCTAACGAAAACAGCCTCAAGTCCCTCAGCCTTTCCTCATGAGACCTTCAGGTAGGTAAAGAAGGCTTTATAAATGATTGAGATTAATCTCATCAGGGGATTTGGATATAAATGTGGGAAAGTTGCATTGAGGTCAATGATCAGCTATGGTCGAAGTCAATGGCAGGCTTGATGGGCTGAATAGTTTATGTCTGTTCCATGTTCATTTAGGAAGGAGTGAGACAGCATAGGGATTTCAATATGAGAGTGCTAATTGTAAAGACAAGATGTTTGACCATTGCTGATGTTAATCTATGATTGGGGATTTGCATAACAGAATTTTGGATGAACTCAAGCTCACTAATGGTAGATGAGTCACAAAATCATACAATACAGAAGAGATCTATTGAGTCTGTATGAGCAAAAAGACACCATCACCTATACGCATATCATTTTCTACACTCGGTCCATAAGCTTGAAAGTTTTTCAACATTTCAAGTGCTCATCCAAGTACTTTTTAAAGGTTGTGAGGTTTACCTTCCTAGACAGTAAATTCCAGAGCCCCACCACACTCTGGGTGAAACATGTTTTTGTCAGATCCCCTCTAACATCCTGTCTCTCCCTTTAAAATTATGCCTCCTTGATATTGGTACTTTGACTAAGTGGAAAAGCTACTTTCCATCTGTAAAAACAGAAAGAACTGTGAATGCTGTAAATCAGGAACAAAAACAGAAGTTTCTGGAAAAGCTCAGCAGGTCTGGCAGCCTCTGTGAAGAAAAAAATCAGAATTAACGTTTTGGATCCAGTGACCCTTCCTCAGAACACTGTGATGAACTTTTCCAGCAACTTCTGTTTTTGTTACTCTCTATCCATCCTTGATTAATCTTATACACCTCAGTCAGGTCCCTCCAAGGAAAATAACCTGAGCTTATCCAGCCTTTCATCATAGCTGAAATGCTGAATCAGAGGAAGCATCCCCATAAATATCCTCCGTAAATAATGTCATGCCTGTTACTAGGTTGTACTGACACTGAATAATTGCTCAGAGGGTCAAATAGCCCACTCCTGCTCCAATTCTTTATGTTTCTATGCTTAAAGCAGCTCATTACCACTTCCTATACCCTGTTCCTGCTTTCTATCCATGCCCTTTGATCCCTTTGGACCTAGGAACCATATCTAACGTACCTAACTCCTACATGAATGTATTCAATGTTTTGGTCTTAACCACTTTCTGTGTCAGAGAATTCATTATTGGCAGGGTGTAGAAATTTCTCCTCATTTCAGTCCTAAGTGGCTCACCTCATATCCTTAAGACCCAGACCCCGGTTCTGGACTCTTAGGCCATTGGGAATATCCTTCCTGCATTTTGCATGTCCAGTCCTGTTAGAATTTCTATGAGATCCCCTGCCCTTCCCCACTCAGTTTTCTAAACTCCAGTGAGTACAGTCCTAACTGATCCAGTCTCTCTTCATACTTCGGAATCAGTTTGGAATATCAACCTTCTTGAACTGTCACAATCTTTGTGGTGAAGGTTCTCATACATTCCTGCAACATTGCTGGATTTTGACTCAGAGATGATGAAGTAATTATTTCCAGGCAGACAGGTGTAGCTTGGAATCAGTGTGAGGTGTTTGTTTCCTCAGACACTTCCTCCAAAACTATTTTCCAATGTGACTCAATCTTTCCTACTGAAAATGAGCATGACCTCTCCCAGACACCAACAACGTCCACACAGAAATACTGCACTATAGTAAAACTTGGTCTATCATTGCTTGGGTTCACTTTTAATAGATAAACATATGACATATCTGATAAATATAAAAATCCGTGTTAATATAAAAATATAATTATTTAATGTTGGCTTCAGCCTACTTTTCCATACCATCTGATGACCAATATAGTGAAGCCCGTTTCATCCTGCTTTCAGGCTTAGGATGGCTGTGTATAACTTCCAGTTGTCATTGTCCCCACTATAATGTTTGTTGATGTCAACCTAGTCCTTTACCCAGAAGGAACTCCACAACTGCCACCGCTATCATGACAAATGCTCCATTGCTCACTTTTCATATGATGTAAGGGTGCCGGTGTTGGACTGGGTGGACAAGGTCAGAAGTCACACGAACCACTTTATAGTCCAACAGGTTTATTTGAAATCACAAACTTTCAGAGCACTTCTCCTTCATCAGGTGAAGGAACAGCACTCCGAAAGCTTGTGGTTTCAAATAAACCTGTTGGACTATAAGCCACTTTTTAAATGATCTTGAAAGAATTGTTTGGGGGAATTCATGATCCTGCAATCATGCCAATTAGGGAAATGCTGTTGTAGGTGACAGAGATTCCCAGTTTAGGGAATTGCAGTTGATGAAATCTCAGAGAGTGTGTGGAAGCATATGGGCATGATAGTGATGGTGAATCTTTATACTTGAGGAAGTGAATGCTAAGTTGGTTTATAGGCTACGAAACAATTGGCTTTGTTTTATTGGTCTTCTGGCCTGTTGGACTCAATCAGAGATGGGAAAAGTTTTCTATCACATTTCTAGTTTGTAAATAATGAAATATTTTGGTCAGTCAGGAAGTCAGTGATTCACCTCTGAATGCTGAGTTTCTGACCTGTTCTTGCATCTACAGAGATTACATGGCTGATCCACTCAAATTTCACATCAATTTGATTTGATTTTGGCTTTGATTTTATTGTCACATGTACTCAAGTACAGGAGTACAATGAAAAGTGTATAATGTTGTCACACAAGACACCATCTTAGGTACGAGTACCTAGGTACAGAATCTTAAGAACAAGGTAAAAATAAAGAGCAAAGTTAAAAGGTAAACATTGCAGTAATTATGTTGCAGCATAAAACATATGATATAAAGTTAAAAGTAATACATTGCACACCTTCTTAGTTTTCAGTAGAAAATAAAGAAATAAAGCTGAAAGTTCAAACATTACAGTCTTTCTTAAGTGCTTAGCCACAGTCAGACAGCACTTTGAGGAATCACTTCAAGATCAGAAGTCCACACTGAGGCCAGCCTGGGCTGAGAGATTGCCACATACCAGTGAAAGACAACCATGACGGGCCAAGAGACCACCATGCCAGGCCAAAAGTCAGATCACTGTCAAATGTCAGATCAATGTCAAACTTCAGATTCAATGTTAGGTATCAGATCAATGTCAAATGCCAGTTCAAAGTTAAATTTCAGATCATTGTCAAATTTCATATAAATTTCAGATCACTCAGGTTGATGATTGTGTTGGGGGTTGAGGGTGAGATCTGACACTGAATATTTTATTAGTTTGCTGGAAATGGTACTTGCTTAGCTCTTTTGTGTGCAACTGTTATCTGATACTTGGATGCTGTCCAGGCACAGCAATTTCAGAAACTTGGCAGTTCCCAATGGCACCAAGCAACATGCACTCATCACAGAACAATACACCCTTCTGATCCCATCTTAGAGGGAAGGTCATTGATGAAGCAACTGAAAATGATCATTAGAACACTGATGTAAGGAACACTATAACCAAGGTCTGGACTGCAAGGAATGAGCTTCCTCTTCTTATTGGAATTTAGAAGAATGAGAGGTGATCTTATTAAAACATATTGGATTCTTACAGGGCTTGACAGGGTAAATGCTGAGAGTTTGTTTCCTCTCATGGGAGGAGCAGAGGACATAGCCTCAGAATAAAGGGGTCCCAATTGAAGACTGAGATGAAAAGGAATTTCTTCTCTCAGAGGATTGTGAGTCTTTAGAACTCTTTGTCACAGAGAGCTGAGTGGGGGCAGAATCCTTTTGAAAGTTTAAAGTCAAGTTGGATAGATTCTTAATCATTAGGAGAATCAAGAGTTGTGGGGTTTAGAGCAGGAAAGTGGACATGAGGAACATGGGATCAACCATGATCCTATAGAATGGCAGAATAGGCTTGAGGGGTCAAATGGCCAATTAATGTTCCCATTTTTTATAGTCTACAGCCTTAATTTGCTCAAGGGATGTGAGTGTCACTGGCTAGGCCATCATTTAATGCATTTCTGTAATTGCCCAGAGGGCAGTTGAGAATCAACCACATTGATGTGGGTCTGGAGTCATATGGAGGCCAGACCGGGTAAGGAAGGTAGATTTTATTTCCTAAAATGACATTAGTGAACCAGATGAGTTTTTTGGATAATGTTTACATGCTGAACATTAGACTAGCATTTAATTCCAGACTTTATTGAGTTCAAATTTTCACCATCTGCTCATCTTTGAATTTGCCTGCAGAACATTAGACAGGGTGTTGAAATTACTACTACTGTGACATTACCAAGACAAGCCACCACCTTAAACAACCACAACATTCTTTCTGTTTAAGTGCTTCCTTATGCAATTGCCTTGAACTTATTGCCCTTCAGGCAAAGCATTTCAGAGCTTCTTTTTAAAGAAACATCAATGTTTTCACTTGCGGAGAAAGATAGCTGCCTTTGAAGCTAAGGTGACTTTCCTTCCCAATTTCAATAACAGAATTTTTAAAAAAATTCCTATTCTGGGAAATGAGTTCCCTCTGAGACCAACATCACCTGGTCCAATAAGCATTTGAGGATTGAAAACTGACTCGCCTGAAGTGTTGAGTTTACCGGAAAATGTGAATCAGTCACCAGGTATTCCCAGATGCTGGAGCTGTCCTCTCAAGATGGTGAGACAGCCACTAATTGTGGTAGTGGCCTGCTTATTGATCACTCAAGGTGAGGATCATTTCTTCCTGTTATTTCACCCCGTTGATGGGAAGAGACAAAACAGTGAAAGATTGTCAGAGAATGTCAAGTTTAGGTTCAGGTGTGAGAAATGTATTTGTTGTGTGGATTTTTAACTGGCTTTATCTGCTGTAGTAATTCATTGATGTGAGTTTCTTTTACTCAGCTAAACTCCAAGACTTTCATAGTCAGGTAGGAAAAAGGCAGATAGATGTAAGTGTTGGAGGCAATGCATTTTTCGCAATGGAAACATCAGCTACGATGAGCATTGGGAGCTGAAACTTCAGGGAGAAAAACATCCTGGTGTGGATAAAGTCCACCGTGTCTTCAAGTATTGATTACAGGGAGCGGGTTGAGTTATTCCTCCCTCAGGGATCCCTCCTGCTGAAGTCGGTCACACTGTGGGACAGCTGGGAGTACAACGTTCATATGCTTCCACAAGTTGGCAGGCAAGCAACAGCCACCATCACTCTGCATGTCACCAGTCAGAAGCTCCTCTTTTATCGCCTCTCAGGGTAGTAGCAGGAATCGGTGAAGTGGCACAGCAAGATCCAAGAAATTGCAAAAAAGCCTTGAAGCTTACAGTGGTAACACATTTTACAAAACACATGCTTTCCTACTGCTACACCCATTAAATAATAAACTTTTGACGATTGCTAATGTTGTACCTTTGTTTAACAAGGCAGTGAGAGACAGACCAAATGATTGCAGGCCAGTCAATCTAATTTCAGTCCAAAACAAAATATTGCGGATGCTGGAAATGAAACAGAAAGTGCTGGAGAAACTCTATAGCTCTGGAAGTATCTGTGGTGCAAGTTGTTGAGCTAAATCTTGAGTCCAATATGGCTCTTTTATCAGAACTTCTACCTCCTGTTGTTCAAAGCAGAACTCCGCTATTATTTAGAGATGTTTTCACCACACCTCCTCTCCCCAATAAGCCTTGCAGTCACAAACCTCTGCAGCAAACAGGACTTGAACCCACCTGACTCAGAGGTAGAAACACTGCCACTGCACCACAAGACCCCTTTCTTGGTCACTTATAGATAGTTTCTATTTAACCCTGTCATCACACACCTTTGGAGCAGGTGGGACTTGAAACTGGAGCCTTCTGATTCAGAAGTAGGGATATTACTACTCTCCCACCAGGACCCACACATGAACTGTCTGGCCAATCCAAAATCAAGGTTGATACTTTTCCTGATTCAGCACTTTTAATGAATAGGAAATGTTTAATGGGATATGGATCAAACACAGGCAAATGGGACTAGTTCAGTTTAGGATAGTAGGTCAGCACAGACAAGTTGGACCAAAGGGTCCATTTCCATACTGTATGACTCTTTGAGTCCAATCCTCCATTAATTTCAGGTAGATCTTGAATCCAAGCCTTGCTGGTTTAAAGATAGGGAAACTCTTACTATGCCACAAGAACCCTAATCACTCAGATATTGATTCCATTTTTTATTATCAGCACTACCCTAAACTCTCTAGCTTTGTTAAAAACCAAAAGAACTGTACATGCTGTAAATCAGGAACAAAAACAAAGTTGCTGGAAAAGCTCAGCAAGTCTGGCAGCATCTGTTAATGGGCTCCCATGTGCTTGTGTACGCAGATATTCATTTTTCATAGAGTCATACAGTACAGAAACAGATCCTTTCATCCAACTCATCTACACCAACCAAACTTCCCAAACTAAACTAATCCCATTTGCCTGGAGTTGACCCCATTTCCCTCTAAACTTCTTCTAAGGACGCCCCTTTCCACCTATCTTCTCCTCTGTCCATCTTCTATCCGCCTCCCCCGTCTCCCTATTTATTTCAGAACCCTCTTCCCCTCCCCCATTTCTGATGAAGGGTCTAGGCCCGAAACGTCAGCCTTCCTGCTCCTATGATGCTGCTTGGCCTGCTGTGTTCATCCAGCTCTACACCTTGTTATCTCAGATTTTCCAGCATCTGCAGTTCCTACTATCTCCTATTTATGTACCTGTCCAAATATCTTTTAAATTTTGCAACTTTATCTACCACTTCACCTGGCAGTTCATTCCATATTTGCACCACCCACTGTGTGAAAAAGTTGCCCCTCAGGACCCTGTTAAATCCTTCTCCCCTCACCTTAAAATTATGCCCTCTAGTTTTGAATTCCCCTACCCTCAGGAAAAGATATTTTACATTCACCTTATCTATGCCCCTCATGACTTTGTAAGCCTCTACAAGGTCACCCCTCAACCACCTATGCTCCAGTGAAAAAAGTACCAGCTTATCCAGCCTCTCCTGACAATTCAAACTCTTCAGTCTTAGTAACATCCTTGTAAATCTTTTTTGGTGTTGCATAGCTTCCAGAGCCACTGACCAAAAGCTGGAAAATGGGATTAGTCTAGTCAGATTGTTTTCTGACTCATGCAGTTGTGATGGGCTAAATAGCCTCCTTCTGAAGTGTAAATATTCAGGAGGTAAATGAGAAGTATTTCCATGACTTGTTCCTTGAAGGTGAAGGACAGGCTTTAGGAACTGAGGAGATATGCAATAGGATTCCCAGACTCTGACCTAATCCTCTTATTATGAGGGCAACTATATGACTGGGCCAGTTATGTCATCGTTGAATTGCAGAATCGTACAGTACAGAAGAGGTCCTTCAGCCCATTCAGTCTGTACCACCAAAAATACTACTACCTACAATGGGCCCAATTTCCAGCCTTGGCCAATAACCTCGCATATTATGACACTTAATTGTTCATCCAATTACTTTTTAAAGATTGTGAGGCTTCTCACCTCAACTGCACTCACATTCCAGATCCTCCACCACTCTCTAGATGACAAAGATTTTCCTCAAATACCTTCTAAACCTCCTGCCTTTCACATTACAATTATCAGACTTTTGAATGGACCTCATTAATGTTAATATTGATCTCTCTCTGCACCTTCTCGGCAAATGTAACACCGCACTCTGTTCTGTTACCCTGATGCACTTGTATAGTACGATCTGCCTGTAATATGAGACAACACTTTTCACTTTACTTTGATGCATAATAAATCAAATTATGCCCCTTGTTATTGACCCCCTTGACTGAGGGGGACAGCTGCTTTCTATCCACCCTGTCCATGCCCCTCATAATCTTACACAGCTCTGACAGAGCCAGTCCTAGCCTTCTCTCCTCAAAGGAAAATAACCCAAGCTTATCCAGCCTCTCTTCATCACTGAAATGCTCTATTGCAAGTAGTAACCAGTTACGAA